GTCCTACTAGTGTCCAAAAGCGTGAGAACAGCCTTCTCATCTCTCTCTCTCTCTCTCTTTCTTTCTCTCTCTGTCTCTCTTTCTCTCTTCCTCTCTCTCTCTCCCCCTCTCTCTTTCTTTCTCTCTCTGTCTCTACCTGTGGGGCGTTAATCGCTTCCATGGTAAGTCTGTCCTACTATTGTCCGAAAGCATGATAACATCCTTCTAAAAATAAGCATCTCCTCATCTCTCTCTCTTTCTCTCTCTCTCTCTTTCTCTCTCTCTCTCTCTCTTTCTTTTTCTCTCTCTTTTTTTTCTCTCTATCTCTCTGTCTTCCATTTCTTAGTCTCCCTCTGTATGTGCCTCAACGCCTCACTGCCTGTCTTGTCTCTTGCCCAATGTTTCTGTGCTTGTGTCACCTGTCCTTCTCTCTCTACACACACCCACGCACATGCTCACACACACATATATCTGGCCATCCATCCATTCACCCAGGCCTGGTTGTCTGTTCATCTGCTTATCCACTTTTCCACCAGCCTGTCTGTACTGTCTACCCATTACCCATCTACCCACCCATCCATGCATACACTCATCCATCTTTCACTAACAGACACACACACTCCAACAGACCAAGAATGTAGCTTCGTTAAAGAAAACAGGACACCACAACAAGAAATAAACAAAATACAGATGGACCAGTTAGGTCACTTAGTTACATCAATTTTTTTTTTTCTCAACCCTCGACCCTAGTCCATCGACACATCCATCCAGTTATCCACACATCCATCCACCCATCCAACAAATTATTCTTTCATCCATCGACTCATCCACACATCCATCCAATTATACACACATTACTCCACCTATCCATCCAATTATACACATATCACTCCACCCATGCATCCAATTATACACACGTCACTCCACCCATCATTCCATTTATACACACGTCACTCCACCCATCCATCCAAGTTTACACACATCCATCCAATTATACACACATCACTCCATCCACCCATCCAATTATCCACACATCCATCCACCCATCCATTCAATTATAATTTCATCCATTGACACATCCACACATCCATCCAATTATCCATCTAGCACTTACTTACGCCCCACTGTGCTAAAACCCAGTTTCTGTACACAACAAAATCAGACATCACATAGAAAATATATATATCATAGTTTCCAGTTAGATCACTTACACACATCTTTTTTTTTCCCCCAACCCTTGACCCCAGTCCGTTCATTCATTCATTCATCAACCCAGTATGAACCATCCATCTTGCACTTACAGACACAGCCAAAATGTATTAAAATGTAATTTCTATATAAAAAAAAAATATAAGACATCAGTTAGGCTGATTCAGTTAAGACACTTGTAATAACAATCTTTTTCTCATCCTTACACCATAGGTCATCCATCCATCCATTTATCTATTTATCCACCCATCCGTCTATCACTTACAGACACACACTGCCATGTACTAATAATGTAGTATCAAAAGAAATAAACACATAGACAAATATAAATACCCAGTTAGGCCACTTGTTACACCCATCTTTCTCTGGACCCCCAGGCTCGGCTTCCAGAATGCAAACCGGGCACAAACCCAGCAGATATGCCAGAGAAATGTGAGCAGCGGGAGGAGATTCGCTGGAGGCCCAACCGAGTGGTGGATGGGGACCTCCTGATGTACCTGAGGGCTGCCAGGTATGTTCCGCTTACTGGCAGTGTTGGTGCTTTGTTTGTTTATTGTGGCTGGTTAGGGTTCCAGTTCCAGTGTGGGCAAGTCGAGTCATGTTACCTGGGGCTGGTGAAAGTTGTGTTTGTATTAGTTGTCTTTATGTGAGTGTGTGTTAGTTGCCTTCATGTGAGTCAGTATTGGTCATCTTTAGGTGAGTGTGTATTAGTTGTCTTTATGTGAGTTTGTGTTAGTTGTCTTCATGTGAGTCTGTATTGGTCATCTTTAGGTGAGTGTGTATTAGTTGTCTTTATGTGAGTGTGTGTTAGTTGTCTTCATGTGAGTCAGTATTGGTCATCTTTAGGTGAGTGTGTATTAGTTGTCTTTATGTGAGTTTGTGTTAGTTGTCTTTATGTGAGTCAGTATTGGTCATCTTTAGGTGAGTGTGTATTAGTTGTCTTTATGTGAGTTTGTGTTAGTTGTCTTCATGTGAGTCAGTATTGGTCATCTTTAGGTGAGTGTGTATTAGTTGTCTTTATGTGAGTTTGTGTTAGTTGTCTTCATGTGAGTCTGTATTGGTCATCTTTAGGTGAGTGTGTATTAGTTGTCTTTTTGTGAGTTTGTGTTAGTTGTCTTCATGTGAGTCTGTATTGGTCGTCTTTAGGTGAGTGTGTATTAGTTGTCTTTATGTGAGTGTGTGTTAGTTGTCTTCATGTGAGTCAGTATTGGTCATCTTTAGGTGAGTGTGTGTTAGTTGTCTTTATGTGAGTTTGTGTTAGTTGTCTTCATGTGAGTCTGTATTGGTCATCTTTAGGTGAGTGTGTATTAGTTGTCTTTTTGTGATTTTGTGTTAGTTGTCTTCATGTGAGTCTGTATTGGTCGTCTTTAGGTGAGTGTGTATTAGTTGTCTTTATGTGAGTGTGTGTTAGTTGTCTTCATGTGAGTCAGTATTGGTCATCTTTAGGTGAGTGTGTGTTAGTTGTCTTCATGTGAGTCTGTATTGGTAATCTTTAGGTGAGTGTGTATTAGTTGTCTTTATGTGAGTGTGTGTTAGTTGTCTTCATGTGAGTCTGTATTGGTAATCTTTAGGTGAGTGTGTATTAGTTGTCTTTTTGTGAGTTTGTGTTAGTTGTCTTCATGTGAGTCTGTATTGGTCGTCTTTAGGTGAGTGTGTATTAGTTGTCTTTTTGTGAGTTTGTGTTAGTTGTCTTCATGTGAGTCTGTATTGGTCATCTTTAGGTGAGTGTGTATTAGTTGTCTTTTTGTGAGTTTGTGTTAGTTGTCTTCATGTGAGTCTGTATTGGTCATCTTTAGGTGAGTGTGTATTAGTTGTCTTCAGGTGAGTTTGTCTTAGTTGTCTTCAGGTGAGTGTGAATTAGTTGTCTTTATGTGAGTGTGTATTAGTTGTCTTTAGGTGAGTGTGTATTAGTTGTCTTCAGGTGGGTGTGTATTAGTTGTCTTCAGGTGAGTTTGTCTTAGTTGTCTTTATGTGAGTGTGTATTAGTTGTCTTTAGGTGAGTATGTCTTAGCTGTCTTCAGGTGAGTGTGTATTATTTGTCTTTAGGTTACTGTGCATTATTTGTAGTTAGGTTAGTTTGAATTAGTTGTTTTTAGGTTAGTTTGAATTTTTTATCATTACGTTAGTCAGTTATGCCTTCTCAACTGTATGTCAGAGACGTATGTATGTGTGCATTTGTTCTTAGCTGCAAGTCCGGAATTTGAAAATACAAAATAAGTAAAGAATGAAGTAGATAAAGATGTGTGTGTGAGAAATGATTGGAAATACACGAGACAGGAGATTATGGTTAGACATGACAATCAACGCCACATGTGATGGATTGTAAAAAGAAGATAGAAGTCGACTAGGAAACAGAAAAAGTAAATGAAGACGCTGATTCTGATGGGAATGCCCTGGTACCAACTGCCACACAAAGCCACACTGAAGAAATGTATAATGGACACAGAGCATGGAGAAGAACATGGAGCAATGGCATCAAGAAAAGGTTCATCAAATGAAGATCAACTTATACAGCCCATTGGAAAGAGCACACAGAATGTTCTTACATCCTTATTGACGTAGGTAGAGATGAGGGACCTTCGGCCCCAACAGGACTGCACAACGAGCTAAAAACCCCAGTGACACAGAGTGCCACCATTTGGATGTTAATCACCCGGATATTAGTCACAGAAAGCCCATTCGACTACAGCCGGGGTGGGGCTTTAAAGTAACAAAAAATGAGTTCTATATTGGAGCGGTTGTAATCTTTGGGAAGGGGGTGCAGACCAGCCAAGGTATCGTCACTAGGAAAGGGGGGGGGGGGGAATGGCTAAAATGTTGTTTTTAGAATTTTATATATATATATATATATATATATATATATATATATATATATATATATATATATATATATATATATATATATATATATATATATATATGCGTGAGTGTAGGGAGGTGGCAGGAAATTTTCTGTGGGTACCCCCTGACCTTACTACCCACTGCACCAAGTTTAACCCCACAGATACACACACACTTTGATGCAGTACCTGAAGAACGTGAAGAAGAAAAAAACAGTTCACATTCTGTCTTCAGTTGCTGATATGCAACTGTATTTACCTAGATAATGATAGGCATATTTTCTCTGTGGTCTGTAGGAGTATAGCAGCCTTTGCAGGAATGTGTGGGGGAACTGCAGAAGATCGGTGCGAGGCTGAGGCCATGGATGACACCACAGTCAATGCTCTAGACACAGTAAGCCATCTGTTTGTTGTGGGTATGTGTGTTGTTATTGTGAAGAATGCTTAAAATTATTGGACAGCCAAAAAGAGCAACCAAAAGGTTTTGAAAGAGGCGGAAGCCCGAAGACAACTTCTCACAGACAGGAGACACAAGTCATAATTTTTCGGCCATGTTATGAGAAGAGGGAAAGTGGAACATTTTGTAATCACTGGAAAGTTCTGTAGAAGGAAGGATAGAAGAAGACAACGAGAAAAGCATCATGACAGACTTTTTGCATGGCAAATGGTGTGTCAGCACACAAACTGATACATGCTGCAGGAGATGGCAGATTGGGGAGAGGCATGATAACCCATGCCAGTGGGAAAGGCACCTGATGATGATGTGTGTTGTGTCAGATTGTGGCTTCTTTCTTGCCATCCTGTATACTTAGGGATGTTGAATCAAGAACCCTCATCACAGCCCTTAGGAAGTCATTTTAGCAAGGTGGCTAGACATTAGGCTGCCGGCTTCAAGCAGAAAATAAATACTGCGATGAACATTTATAACAAAATTTTTAATAGTTTAAGAAATTGGTACAGTTGATAGTGAGACTGTTGGTCACTAGGTTCAGAGAGTTAAAGCTTCAGAAAGTGGTGAGGTACACTTGTGGATATCATTAATGTGGTGAAGAAATGTCTCTGTGAACAGGACAAAACCTAATACTGGAAAAGCGTGCATGCATTGTTTTCCTTTGGGTAATAAATTGGAGGTAAATACATATTATTGAGAAAATTATTCATATTGTCAGTGAATTTCATTCGTGGTGCTCAAACCATTCAGGGTTGGAAACTGGGGCATCACTTTCTGAACGCCTTTTGTATAGGATGTATATGTAAATCTTGGTACTACAGTGACCACTACCAATATGCCTTTTATCTCCTCAGCTGCACAAACATAACTACGATACGTCCAAGTCACTTCAGGCCCTAGTCAAGGGACCTTCTGTCATGTACAAGGAGAAGAAATGGAATGAGGAGGACATTGTGAGTACATTAGTGACTGTTTTGTTGATGTGTTAATTGCTTATATTCTTTGTGAACCTAGTTGTCTTAGTGTTTTTTCATTAGATTGATTGATTTCTGCATCTCCTTCCTCTTCCTGTCAGCCTTTAACATCACCGTCATCATCTTCTTCTTTTTCTTTTTTCTTCTTCCTTTTATTTATCTTAATCTTCCTTCTCCTCTTCCTGGTATCATAATCGTGCGCACTGCTGGTAGCATAGCCTGTCATGTTCCGTCATCTCACACTATCACCTGAATCACGGATCAGGTCAGTGATCTTGTCTCCATATGGTCAAGCCATCTATATATTTATCTTCTTGTCTTCCCTTTATTCTTTTCCCATTTTTTCTTTATAATTGTCACCAAGTTCCTCTTCTAGCTGGTAATGAGGCCAACATCTGTTGTTTTAAAACTTACTACCTCAACATTAAATCTTCTTCTTCATCTTCTTCTTCTTCTTCTTCTCCTCCCCCTCCTTCTTCTTCTTAGTTCATCCAAATGTGTAATTGCGTTGTGCCTGTTTAGAGCATGGCTGTGATATTTGCTCCTTTCGGCCGACACATCCGACTGCTGGGTTAGCCTTCCCGGAACATTACATGATTTTTAAAGAGATCAAAGATAGACCAGGAAATGGGTTGGCAATTATAATGTAAACAGTGTATGTTATGTGGACAATACAATATTGATAACTGAAAATGAAAAGGGCTGTAAATATTAATAAGACAGAAAGAATAGTTATTATAAAGAAGAAACCGCAAAATGAGAAATTACAAAACAGGCATAGTGCTAATGGAGGTCAACAAGGTTAAATATTGGGGGACAATGAATCTGACGGAAGATGTGCATCTGAGATTAAGAGCAGGATATACCACAGGTGATGGTGGCTTTTCAGGTGATGAAAACTATTTTATGCGAAAGGTCTCTCTCAATAAACATAAGAAAAAGAGTGCTGAAATATTATAGTTGAATCAGTGCTGTTGTTTTACTGTATATCTTAGAATATGTGAATAAACAAATTAAGAAGAACCATGGAGATGTTGTTCCTGAGACATTGGCTGCTGACATCATGGACAGAGATAACAAGGACTGCCTGAAAATGGCTGATCAAAGAAGAAGTTTATAAAAAGAGGTTGTCAATGTACTCTGGTCATATTATGAGTAAAGAAGCATTAGAGAACATTAAAATGACTGTAGAGAGATCTACGGTAGAAGAACGAACGAAGGACTTAACAAATTTTATTTTCAAAGGTTCACAAATTGGGCATGCAGACCCGTCTTACATTCGGCCCTTCCAAGTACCCATGTTTCATACAGCAGTTGTATTTTATCGATAAAACACGTCATGTTCTTATAATATTATGCATATTATGAATATCAAGAAGAAACACAAAACATGGGTAGTAAAATGCATGCACACACACCCACACGCCCACTCACTCAATTACACACACTCACCCCTGCATGCATGCATACATGCGTACATAATACATGTACACACACATATACACACTTAAATTCATATATTCGTACACACAGACACACATGCACAGAGTGGATGATGATTTTATGAGTAGGTGATAATTTAATGAGTAGGTGGGTGATGATGTTCTGAGTGGTTGATAGTGGTTGAGTGGCAAATATATTGTCTCTGACACCTATAGATATGTGGTTTCAAGGAAGATAACAGCGAAATGTAATTTTTAAAAATTACCTTTTCAAAGAAAGTAATAGAAAAAAACTAATAGTAATAGGATATAACTGTAGCGAAAGTTTACTTTTACCGATTGTCGCAATAAATAAAGAAATTCACAGTAACCTGAACCGCCAATGTGACTGTTAAATTAAACATTGTAGTGACAGTGGTAAATACAAATGTAACCTGTGAATTGGTCAGGGTTTCAGTGGAGTTAACACTTCATTTATAATAAATACACGAAATACAGAAAGGGTTTGTGATTTATAGTATATGTATATATGTGTGTGTGTATATATGTATATATATAGATCTAGCACTAAATGTATGTATATGCACCCCCTCCCCTTTCCCCCAACTCCTTTGAAAACGTATTGGGGGACTGAAACCGAGCCCCACTTCAATGTTTTCTTTGTGTCGGCGCCCCAGCAAGTAGCATGAGGCTCCTGGCACGCCAGAAGCCTGACAGCTGTAACAAGTCTGCTGCCTTGTTGATCCGGACATAATCAGCATTAATCTCCTTCACACATCCGCCATACCTTTAGGTCTACAGTCCCGGTCGCTGGGGGAGATAGCTGAAATCTTGTCTCCGGTCGACCTTTGTAGAAACAATACTAACGATTCTTTTGTTTATCTGGCCTTTCAGTCAGGGGTAACTAGTTTCTGTATACACCGGTGGGCGTTGGTGATTTTTGGTGAAGGGTCGTTTCACGTTTGTTGTGGGTTTTGTAGACTTTCTTCCTAAAGTCGAAGTTGTTTGGCGATGGCAGTGATGTCTGTACACAACCTTCTGTCTCGTGTACTTTCAGTCAGTTCCGACAACTGATTTTGTCTCCCTCTGTTTATTTCCCCTTAAACTTTCCTACCGGCACGATGTACTCCAGCTTTCTCCTTCTCATAACATGACCAAAGAATGCAGATGTTTTCCCTTCTGATGAGGGCAGTCAGTCCCCATAACTCATTTATTTCAAGATATATTCATTACTCTTTTTACCTGTCCAGGGTATTGTCATCATTCGTCCATAAAACTACATCGTTACCGCTTTCATATAATTTTTTAAAATGTGGCCAACTGTCTGTGATTCACTTTCTTATGTCGGGATATTTTATATAACTCTTTAAAATTCTCTTTGTCACTTTAATTGACAAAGAAATATTGCATAGAATATTCTGTTATCTTCTTTTAAAACATTTTTTTTTTCTGTCGGGAGCAAAAATAAAAGTCCTAAACGGCAAAGTTCGTGGCAACTATGCTAGCCATTGTCATTCTGAATGTTCAGGTTCAGGGTCCCCCACTGCCTTCTGTACTACTTCATCGTCATCACAACACCGCGTTGTGTTGAGTCACTAATGGCTGTTGGCTTATTCATCAGTTCCCACCACTTCCGTTAGGCAGATGCAATGGGCCTGATGTTGTTAGGTTTGAGGCCTGTCCATTTAACGAAATTCTTTATCTAGGTCTTTCTGGGTCTGTCCTTTCTCTTCTTTCCCGTTACAGAGGCCTCTAATATGGTTTGGAGAGGCGAGTAAATCTGGTTAATCGTCTGTACCTATGCATTTTGTATCCTTGCGCTTTTAAAAGATTTTCATAGTTGTTGCCCAGTGTTTTTAGTAAGGTGATGATAGGACGAACTTCATTATTATTAACGTGGTCTCTGTATGATATATCATATGGGCTTCGAAGAGATTTCGTTTCCAAGGCTCATCCCACACTGCCCTAAAAGGTTTTACTTACATACATATAGTCAGAGACGGTTTGTATAAGGTAACATTGCAGAGAAAAGGCAGACAGGACGTGTTTTGCAAGACTGTCTCTTGTACATCCTGTTGGGATGTTCCTGAAGGGAACACCGGTCTAATGAGTCAGTTGCATACTTGACTTTGTATCGAACTATTAAGGCATCCTCAAGTCATCTCCCTTACTGCTGGTCTCCTGCTTTTGCACATATGGTATCTCCTGGCGTTTTGCTTTCCTTCACCTCTCTTTCTACTGACAATCTCCAGGTTTTCATAAGTCGTACGCTTCCTTCCTTCCTTGTTGCCGAACGCAAATAATAGTTCGATCGCCTTCAGTGATTTCAGTTGTCTCAGAGCAGTTGCTTATAATTGCGATCTTTATTGTGCAGTACTTGATCTGATGAGGTTTCTTGCGGTTCCATTAGATCTTGTTGTCAGATGGCGTTTTAACTGATAGTGGTTCTTCCTTCTATAACATTCTTGTAACGTGTCGGGGGTCTTTTTCTGTTTAGCGACCACATCACGCGAGATTTAAGGAAATACCATATTATAGGGATGTTAGGGCTAGTAGTGGTCGCCATTCATTTAACACAAACCCCAACCTTAAACCCCTATAATATGGGATAACCCTAATCTCGCGTGGTGTAGTCGCTAAACAGAAAAGAACCATCGGTGTTGGTTTCTGAAGAGGTAGATATCCGCTGTACTTTCTTATTGTGTAGTTTGGTTTTGTTCCCGACTATGTCAGGACACATCTCGTGGAAATAGTTAAGTCGTACGCATCTCATTTGTCCATCTGCCATCCACCGGAAAGCTGTCCTTGCGAAAACATCACCAGACATGCTGCAGACATACCCGAGTCATCTTCTTCTTCTCCCTGTAATGTTTGGCCATTAAGTAAACGACCATTTTTCACACCACCATGCGTATTGAGCATATAGTGATAGACCTGTATTTTATAGATTTATAGACCAAACGACACTCGGTTGGAGATGTGGTAACATCATGTCGATCGCCTTTACTTCCCAGGACTGTACCGGGTGCCCACCTTAGGCTGGGTCCAGCTGGGGAACCTAGGTCATTTTTGAAAAAAGTTCGGAAAGTCCGGCTCTGTCATACCTGACCTTCTGATCCGCAGGCGAGCGTCTAACCGCTACACCACTGTGCGTCCCGTCCGCTAGAGAACTCTTAAGAGAAGATGATGACTTCCAAATGTTCATCATTTTCTGAATGCAGTCAGAGCCTCTGGGTGTGATCTATCCCATGCATATTCCCACTAACTGCATTCACCGAATGATGCACCAGGCGGTTATTGGGCCGAATATTGGAGAGCGGTTCCAGAAGTTTAACATGGGACAGATCCGACTTGACGTCAGAAGCGTAACCACACACAAATCATGGGGGGGGGGGGTGGTGGGTGGCAGAGGCGATGGGACTCATTTCCTTGATAATTTTTTAGTTGTGAGGCACACAATGAAAACACTGGAGCTGCTAGAGTCGCTCAGTCCTCTTGCGAATTGTTTAGGGAGTCTCGACGTACTTAAGGCTTGTG